GACCATTTGCTCAGTGAGAAGGACACGGGGGCCAGCTTGGAAGAGGCTCCCAACTGGTCACACTTACAGCCATTTGAGCACAAAACAAAAGGCTTTAATAGCTTATGACACACCAGTAAATGAAAGTCCACTAGTCCACCTTGGTACTCAAGGAAGACAAAGGAAAAGTCCAAACATTTGCCCCCATGGAGGTGTCTGCTAGACCATCTTCTGCTAAAAATTGGCAATAAAGGGAAAGAAATTCGCATTTCTCTTTCTAAGAGGTAACAAAGAAGGGAAACAGATGAAAATAAAGAAGGAACGACAGCACTGGAAGTCAGTGTTGCTGGCCACGGGTGCTGGGAAGACCAACCAACAGCAGGTTTAAGTGTGATGGGAGCAGGGTGCCCACACGGCCTGACACCCCACATCTAACTTGCCAACTGCAGGGTGAAGAGCCAGGGAGCAAAGTCACATCCAATCTCACGGGACAGCGTCCACCCACAGTCGGCACACAGCACCACCTGCGCCCAAACTGCCTTCCACTGCCCGATCACAGGGGGTGCTCTGGGGGCCCCAGAACCAAGAGGGACATCAAAGCACTGTGACGAGTGGCCCTGGACTCAACTCCGGTTGGGAAATGCAGCTACTGAAGACGCACCGGACGACGCCAAGGGTTACTGCCTCGATTCGCGGACGCCATTGATGACTCGACTGTCAGCAGACAGTACAATGTCCTTGCTCCTTTCTTAGGAGAAAGAATGCTTAGAGAAGCATCCTGGTATCTGCAATTCCCTTCAAGACAGTCCAGCAAGTGCCAGGTGGCAGCAGGTGGCAGGCACAGTAGCTCCAGCTGGGGGCAAGGCACACAGGAGTGCCAATGCTGTAGTTAGAATAATACTCAAATAACCTTCGCACGGCACAAGTATATTAGTTTCCAATTCAGAGCACACATGACCTCAACAGGCTGTGGAGCACACCCAGAGTCCAAGAGCGGCACATCAGACTGGGCCTGGTTGAGACTGGGAGATGGCAGTTTTTCCTCCTGAGGACATAATTTCCATCCGGTCTCCACCTGAGAGTAGCGTTCACCTGTTCTGAGGGTGCACATCACCTGCCACAAATTCCAGCAGGAGCCACAGGCTCACAAAGGCTGCCCACACAGAAGCCAACATCCAGGTCTGAGCTAAACTGAGAAGAGGGCCAGGCACAGTGGCTCACACCTGTATCTCAGCACTTTGGGAGGCTGAGGCGGGAGGATCACTTGAGGTCAGGAGTTCGAGACCAGCCTGGCCAACAGAGTAGATATGGCCCCATATCTACTAAAAGTACAAAAAGTAGCCGGGCGTGGTGGCAGGTGCCTATAGTCTCAGCTACTTGGGAAGTAGCTGAACCCGGGAGGCAGGTTGCAGTGAGCCAAGATCACAGCACTCCACTCAAGCCTGGGCGACAGAGTGAGATGCTGTCTCAGAAACAAACAAATAGAGAAGGGGGACAAAGCTAAAGGTCAAGGACAGGGGCAAGGGGTCTGACTCCAGACACCCAGTCAGACGTGCTCAGGAACCCAGGCAAGGCCGTCTTGAAAACAGGGCACCTTCCAGAGCCAGCCAGCCACCATGCTAAGGTCAGCTGGTCTGTGTTCCATCCCCGAAATGTTCTGGGTCACACGACAGGGCCATGTGGATTACTCTCCTAGGTCGTTTTGTGGGTCCCCTGTATTTAGCACCAGCACCTTCACCATGTATCCATATCTTGGGGGTCCGGGCAGTCCCACTAGTGACAGGCCTGACATCGCAGCTGCGGCCGAAAGCTGCTGGGGAGTCTCTCACTTAAAGGATGTGGAACATGGCTTCTGTGATGGGGTAACCGGAGCTCTCCCCAAGTGCACAGGCTCCCAACCCTGCTCTCCAAAGCAAACAGGTGGAGTTTTGGAGAAAGTCAGCCCCTCGGGGTTTGTCTGTGGAGGTGGTGAGGCCGGAAGGGCGGGGGGCCAGGTCCTCCTCACCCTGAGCAGGAAGCAGGAGGCTGCAGCGGTCCCAGCCCCACCCCCAGGGCCAGGCCAGTATCAGCTGTTTCTACTGCACACAGATATTGCTGGGAGAGACCTGGGCCATGGCTGCCGAAAAGCCTTTAGGTAGAATGAGAGATGGGAAGCTGGCCAGCATTCCAGTGCGGGTCATTTAGGCTGTTTGTCCCCAAATCCCCAAACACCTGGGGGAGCTGGGAGGTGGCTTCAGCAGCAGGCCCTGGGGATGGGCAGGAGGCTGGTGCTGGGATGCTGCAAGGCTGCCCCTGCCCCTCCCGGACGATGCTCTCCTGGGCTTCTGCCATTGCCCCCAGACCCTTCAGGGCTGGACTCTAACCTTCTCTCCCCATAAGGTCCGGAGCACACTTTCCCAGGAGAAACTGAGATCACCCTCGCCCTCACCTGCCGATGTTTCTCCTTGAAGCACTTACTGGGCCTTTTTCTCTGCTTTACGCTGCTGCTCCTCACCGCTGCCATGTTCCCTGAGAGCAGCGCCTTTTAAAACCACCATTGGCCCCAGCAGGCACAGAGGCAAGCACCTTTGTCTCTCCTGCTCCCCTCCGCCTCAGAAACAGCCAAGAACTTATTTTATTCCTAACAATTCCTCCCAGAATTTGAACTCCCAAAAGGACATATCCAGTGATCAGCAAGGAAGTGATCTGAGGTACCGCAGAATGAAGAAAAACCTAGACGCTGAAAAGCGGGGAGCAGGAGCAGGGCCTGGAAGAGTGGGATGCAGAAAGGGCCAAGGCCCTGGAAGGGGCTGTAGCCGGAGAGCTGCTGGAATTCACAGACACAAAAGCAGAAAGCCAAAACCAAAAAAAACCGCTAAGGGGTGTCACAGGGTAAAGGCACACCGACTTTATTACACGGCCAAGTGTGAGTAAGAGCGATTCCTATAGCTACATCCTCAGGTCCTGAGGTTTCAACACTGAAGGAAGTCAGTCGGTAAGGAAGGGCCAGTTTGGCCTCGACCCCAGGGCTGGGCAGAGCCACGCCCGGCAGTTCCACCTCCTCTCAAAGACACCATCAAACCAAAGAGAACTGGACCAGAAGCTGAAACCAGGCAAACAAGATGCAACACAAAGTGAAGGACAGCACCCACCAGGTCACTCACTGCTCCTCCCGCTCCCAGGGTTCCTCTTCCAGGGCGTCCCACTAGGGATGTGAAACACACGCACGCACACACAGACTTTCACGAAGGAAATGGCTTCTCAGCTCCTTGGTGCACACACACATCAGTCCGCTCCCCTAGAAATTTTCTTACAGTTTCTCCAAGATGTCATGGGCATACTTTGCAGGGCTGAGTTACTCACTGTGTGTGTGGTGGGGGAGGGAGTGGGGGGGAGGAAAACTTAAAGAGGAGAGGTTTGACGCCCAAAAAACATTAATCCCTTTATTCAGGAGTCAACTGAACCAAGGCTGCGTGCTGGGGGAGACCCCGTAAGCACCTGCCAAGTGCACTACAAGTATTTGGTTTCTTTCCGTATGGATTAACTGTGTCCTCACCTAAAAGACCCGCCCTTTGAAACTTTTTGAAGATTCATACAGAATCTCTCTTGCGCGATCTTTACCTGAGAAAAAGCCAGTCATCACAGCAGATAACCCGTGTAAGGACTGCGGGAAGTGTGGACATCCCAACGGAAACCCTTGGAGCATGGAATCAAACCCGTCGACTTTCCTCTGGCAACATAACTTTGTTTAGTAATTGAAATTAATTCATAATCAAAATGTGGCTTATTCATAGCACTTTTTCCAAAAATCCCAACCACATCCTTCCTAGTCTCAATTTTGACACCATGACATACACAGAAGAAATAAAAAATATTTCTGCGTACAAAGTCACAGGATGGCCTTGCTTTACCAAACTGACACATTACAAGGTCTGAATGGATCTCTAAAAACTATGCCCGTAATCTAATCAGCGCTAACTTCAAAATAAATAACTTCCCTTTTGACCAACACAAGCTTCTGACGGCTCAGCTTGGCCGGGACGTGTTTCCAGAGAGGTGCTCGGGTCCACCAGGACCACCCGAAATACGAAGGCGCAGAAGCGAGGCCGAGGGGTAGCAATTCTCTTAGCAATGAAGACGATGTGGGTCACACAACGGGACAAAAGAAGAAACAAAAATGACTGCGAGCTCACTCGGGTGTAGGAAAACAACTGCAGCTGAAAAACATTTGAAGTGATGGTTCGCAAGGCAAGTTTTGTTTTTATTCATTAAATGTCAACGGTCAACGCAGAACCAAGTACAATAACCAGCCTCAGGGGCGCGTCGCAAGGACCCGTCTGGGCTGAGACCTGAAACAGGGCCCGGGTGGCCCATCCCGGAGGTGGGACGGGAATGACACATCCAGAGAAGTCCCAGGGACGGGGTTCGCGGGGCAACTCGATGTGGCCGGGGCAGCCGGCTCCCGGCAGACCCGGGCGGCGCCCAGAGCCCGAGCCCCGTCCCGTCCGATCCGTCTCGTCCCGTCCGCCCGGAAGCAACGGCGCGGGGCACGTGGGCCAGGCCGGGCCGACCCCGGGCACTCGGCCGCTCTGTCGGCGCCGCCCCCGCGCCAGCTGTCAGGGCCCGGGTCTGCACGGGGGCGGGTCCGGGGCGGCGCCGGGCGGGGACCCCGGGGCCACGGAGCCGCGCCCCCGCCCGCCTGGTCCCGGCCCCAGCCCCGGCCCCGGCCCCGGCGCGGCGCAGACAATGGCGCGGCCCGGCCCGGCCCCGGCGCGGTTCGCGGCGGACAGGGCTCGCGGCGGGCGGCGGGGCGGCGGCGCCCGCGCACTCACCTCGGCCCAGCCTCTGGGGCGGCTCCCGGCCCGCTGCGGACGACGGCGGCGCGGGCGGACGCTCCATTCATTACCGCGGCTTTGTCTGCCCCCGCGCCCCTCCCGCGGCCCCGCCGCCCGCCGCCCGCGACGCCGCCGGACGCTGCGCCCCTCCCAGGGCCCCGCGCGGCGCGGGGCGGGGCCGTCAGGGGGCGGGGTCGTCTGGGGGGGGCGGGGCCTGCGCGCGCAGGCGCGGTGTCCGCCTCCCCGTCCCGCCTCATCCCCGGCCGCCGAGGAGGACAGAGCGTCTGAGGCGCCGCTGCTGGGGCAGAGCCGGCGGACGACGCAGGCGCAGTGCCCGCGCCGGCTCCGCCCCCAGGTTCGAGAGGGCAAACTACGCAGGCGCAGTGCGCACGCCGGCGCGGACGGGAGGGCGGTTGGCTGGGCCGAGGCCCTCTGGCGGGGCGGGGAGCGGCTGCCGCGGTTTCTTCTCGTGGCTTGGCCGTTGGCGGCTGCTCGGCGCCCTCCCAACGGCCCACCGCGGGTTTCCGGGACAGCCTGCAGGGCGGGTCCCCGTCCTGCCCCGAGCCCCCTTACCTGGCACGGAGGCCGCTCGGTGCGGCGCGGTCGGGCCCCGCGGGCTGGGACCTAAGCCCTTGAACCTAAGGCGATTAGGGCTCCCGCGCGGCCCGGTCCCGCGGGGCGGAATTAACGCCTAAGCCCCGAGCCGGGTCGGCGGGAGGAGGGCGGGCGGGGGCCGGGGCTGCGGGCGCGGGGCGCACGGCCTGACGCTCTCGGGGTGGGGGGAATCGTGCGCTTTTCCTCACGCGAGTTTCTGAGCGGACCAGCTGGAGTCTGCAGGCTGATCAGGCCGCGAGGTCCCCCTTCGGTGACGCGGGTTCAGGCGTGTTCTCGGCCTGAGTGTGAGAGTGGGGCGCGGTCACCGGCTGCGGCGCGAGCGTGGGGTGAGCCCCGGCCGCCCTCAGGCTGACTGTTGAAAGCCCAGCTCCAGCCCTCGGCCAGGCTTTGTATGAAGCTTTTCTCGGAAGAGGTTGGGGGAGAATTAAAACAGTATTTCGGGGCCGGGCGCGGTGGCTCACGCCTGTGATCCCAGCACTTTGGGAGGCCGAGGCGGGTGGATCACGAGGTCAACAGATCGAGACCATCCTGGTCACCATAGTGAAACCCCGTCTCTACTAAAAATACAAAAAATTAGCTGGGCGTGGTGGCGCGTGCCTGTAATCCCAGCTACTCGGGAGACTGAGGCAGGAGAATTGCCTGAACCCAGGAGGCGGAGGTTGCGATGAGCCGAGATCGCGCCATTGCACTCCAGCCTGGGTAACAAGAGCGGAACTCCGTCTCAAATAAATAAATAAAACAGTATTTCGGGATATATGGAAAAAAATATGTGAAATTCAAATATCGGCCAGGCGCGGTGGCTCACGCCTGTTATCCCAGCACTTTGGGAGGCAGACGCAGGTGGATCACCTGAGCTCTCGGGTTCGAGACCAGCCTGAGCAACATGGTGAAACGCCTACTCTGAAATACAAAAATTATCCGGGAGTGGTGGTGCATAGCTGTAATCCCAGCTACTCAGGAGGCTGAGGCAGGGGAATCGCTTGAACCCGGGAGGCGGAGATTGCAGTGAGCTGAGGTCGCACCACTGCATTCCAGCCTGGGTGACAGAACAAGGCTATCAAAAAAAAAAAAAAAAAAAAATTGAAACGTCAGTTTTCTAAGAAGTTCTATGGGGACACAGCCATCCCTGTCCATGTAGTTAAAAGGTAAATTGTTTTTACCTTTCACCGCAGCTGAGGAGCCGAGACTGGGTGCTGACACCCAAAAGGAGCTCCCTGTTTCTTTGAGACGAAGTCTCGCTCTGTCGCCCAGGCTGGAGTGCAAAGGCATGATCTCAGCTCACTGCAACCTCCACCTCCAGGGTTCAAGAAATTCTCCTGCCTCAGCCTCCCAAATAGCTGGGACTACAGGTGTGCGCCACCACACCTGGCTAATTTTTGTATTTTTAGTAGAGACAGGGTTTCGCCCCGTCGACCCAGCTGGTCTCAATCTCCTTAGCCTCGTGATCCACCTGCCTCGGCCTCCTAAAATGCTGGGATTACAGGCGTGAGCCACCTCACCTGGCTTGGCCCAGCCTGGGGCTCCCTGTTTCATTCAGAGTCCAGGCCAGTGTTCTCAGGCCTGCTCTGCAGCAGCCCCAGCCTCCTTGATGCCTGCGTTGGGGTCTTCACACTGACCTTTTGTCTGCCTGGGATGCTCTTCCCCAGGTATCTGCCAGTGTTGAGCTCCCAGACGGCTGCCCAAATGCTAGCCTAGTGGGAGGCTCTCCTCCTCCCCTCTGTGGGCTCTGACATACTGCATATGCCTGTGTCATGCTGCTCCTGCTAGAATCAGCGGGGAGGGGGGACTTCTTTGTTGTGTGTGCTGAGGAAGCTTGCCCAGTGCCCAGAACAAGCCCCACTAAGCTTTGTGGAGCAGGTTAATGGGGCCCCACAATTGCCTGCCACTCAGCTAGGGGCAGAAATAGAAGATTCCTGGGGCCAACGAGCAATGGCTCTTCCCAGAGGGGCCGGCCAGTGAGTGACTCTTGGTGAGTGCAGGTTGACAGGCCCCTCCTAGTGCCTTCCAAATTGTGCAGGGCATCGAGGTGTGGGCTATTCTCCGGCCCCTCACAGGACGATACTGTTTGTATGTTGGGTGGCCCTTGAACTCAGTGGCCAAAGGGCCCCCCTGGAGCATGGAAGGGCCCTCTATGAATCACCTGGGACTGTCCCGGGAAGCCAGGACCTCGGGCCTCCATCAGCTGCAGTCCATTCATTTAATCTTTCACAGGTACTTTTTGTATGCCCAAGATACAGTATCTTATTTTTTCATTCATCTGAGCTGAAGTGTGACATCCCAGGGCCGGGTGTTTTATCTGAGTTCCATGCACCGCCTCTGAGCCCCAGGAAGGCAGGGAGGAGTGGCACCTGCACAGGGCAGTGCATGTCCGGTGCTCAGCGGTGAGGGGGCAGAGCAGCTGGCGCCCTGGTCTTCTGTCCAGAAGCTGAAGGTGGACCCACGGCATCTTCGGAAGGCAGGGGCCCTCGGTGCTTGGAGCACGGTGGCCCTGGAGGGGTCACCCTCATTCAAAGAGAACTTGGTCGAGTTTCTTAGCTGTGAATTAAGATTATGAGCCCAGTGTGGGGGTAGGGCATGCAGCCGCCCGCTCCTGTCGGGTGGACGAACCAGGGGCCCGCGTGGAGCCGCTAGGGCAAGGCGGACCCGGGAGGGGCGCGGGGCGGGGCGGGGCCCTAGGTCAGCGACCGGCCCAGGCCCAGCCTCGCCGCCAGATCCACGGGGCCTCTGTTTCCCCAATCCTGAGAAATCGGGACTCCGGCGGCACCGCCACTCCCGGCCGGAGCCTGCGGCCTCCAGGTTGCGCGCCTCTGTCCAGGCCCGGGTTGGGACCGCGCTGCGGGCCAACTTCCCTAAAGGGTGGGGTCGGGAGGGCGCCGCAGGAGGAGGAGACCCGGAAGCGCTGGGCGCTGGGCTGGAGCCTGGCCCCCTTCCTGGGGGGTGGCTGACGGGGCTGAGGGCGGGGAGAAGACCACCGGGGCTGAGGGGGAGGCATTGAGGGAGCGTCCAGGGAGAGAAGCCCGGGTGGGTGACGCTGCAGGGGAGCTTCCTGGCAGGGGCGAGGGCCTCGGGCGAAGTGGAGCTTCTGGCTGGCAGCGTCTGTGGCCGGGGCGGGAAAGGCGGGAGGAAATCTCAGGTGCTGGGGAAGGGAAGGGGCGGCACGACGGGGGGCAGGTGCATGGGGTGCAGGACAGCGAGCAGGAGCCCGCCGGTGCTGGGGTCAAGAAGCGCAGAAGCATGAGAGCGCTAAGGGACCGGGCTGGGAGGGGTGGGGGCGGCAGCGGCAGCCCTGGTTCTGTCTGAGGTTCCACGGTGGAAAGGGATTTGGAACTTGTGATCATAGCTGGGACTGCCAGATTTAGTGGATAAAAACACGAAATTGCATGGGACCGGCCGGGCGTGGTGGCTCATGCCTGTAATCCCAGCACTTGGGAGGCTGAGGTGGGCAGATTACCTGAGGTCAGGAGTTCAAGACCATCCTGGCCAACATGGGAAAACGCCATCTCTACTAAAAATTCCAAGTTAGCCAGGCGTGGTAGTTCTCACCTGTAATCCCAGCTACCCAGGAGGCTGAGGCAGGAGAATCACTTGAACCCAGGAGCCGGAGGTTGCAGTGAGCTCAGATGGGGCCACAAAAGCGAATCTATCTAAATAACAAGTGTGTGTGTGTATTGTGTGTGTGTGTGTGTGTGTAATATATGTTTGTTTCAGAGACAGAGTCTTGCTCTGTCCCCCAGGCTGGAGTGCAGTGGTTTGTGTGTGTGTATTGTGTGTGTGTATAATATATATATATTACTTTGTTTCAGAGACAGAGTCTTGCTCTGTCCCCCAGGCTGGAGTGCAGTGGTCTGTGTGGGTGTATTGTATGTGTGTATGTGTGTGTATGTGTGCATGTGTGTGTATATATAATATATATATATATTAGTTTGTCTGTTTCAGAGACAGAGTCTTGCTCTGTCCCCCAGGCTGGAGTGCAGTGGTTTGTGTGTGTGTATTGTGTGTGTGTATAATATATATATATTACTTTGTTTCAGAGACAGAGTCTTGCTCTGTCCCCCAGGCTGGAGTGCAGTGGTCTGTGTGTGTGTATGTGTGTGTATGTGTGTGTATGTGTGCATGTGTGTGTATATATAATATATATATATTAGTTTGTCTGTTTCAGAGACAGAGTCTTGCTCTGTCACCCAGGCTGGAGTGCAGTGGTTTGTGTGTGTGTATTGTGTGTGTGTATAATATATATATTACTTTGTTTCAGAGACAGAGTCTTGCTCTGTCCCCCAGGCTGGAGTGCAGTGGTCTGTGTGTGTGTATGTGTGTGTATGTGTGTGTATGTGTGCATGTGTGTGTATATATAATATATATATATATTAGTTTGTCTGTTTCAGAGACAGAGTCTTGCTCTGTCACCCAGGCTGGAGTGCAGTGGTTTGTGTGTGTGTATTGTGTGTGTGTATAATATATATATTACTTTGTTTCAGAGACAGAGTCTTGCTCTGTCCCCCAGGCTGGAGTGCAGTGGTCTGTGTGTGTGTATGTGTGTGTATGTGTGCATGTGTGTGTATATATAATATATATATATTAGTTTGTCTGTTTCAGAGACAGAGTCTTGCTCTGTCCCCCAGGCTGGAGTGCAGTGGTTTGTGTGTGTGTATTGTGTGTGTGTATAATATATATATATTACTTTGTTTCAGAGACAGAGTCTTGCTCTGTCCCCCAGGCTGGAGTGCAGTGGTCTGTGTGTGTGTATGTGTGTGTATGTGTGTGTATGTGTGCATGTGTGTGTATATATAATATATATATATATTAGTTTGTCTGTTTCAGAGACAGAGTCTTGCTCTGTCCCCCAGGCTGGAGTGCAGTGGTTTGTGTGTGTGTATTGTGTGTGTGTATAATATATATATATTACTTTGTTTCAGAGACAGAGTCTTGCTCTGTCCCCCAGGCTGGAGTGCAGTGGTCTGTGTGTGTGTATGTGTGTGTATGTGTGTGTATGTGTGCATGTGTGTGTATATATAATATATATATATATTAGTTTGTCTGTTTCAGAGACAGAGTCTTGCTCTGTCCCCCAGGCTGGAGTGCAGTGGTCTGTGTGTGTGTATGTGTGTGTATGTGTGTGTATGTGTGCATGTGTGTGTATATATAATATATATATATTAGTTTGTCTGTTTCAGAGACAGAGTCTTGCTCTGTCCCCCAGGCTGGAGTGCAGTGGTCTGTGTGTGTGTATGTGTGTGTATGTGTGTGTATGTGTGCATGTGTGTGTATATATAATATATATATATATTAGTTTGTCTGTTTCAGAGACAGAGTCTTGCTCT